GGAATTCTCGAATATCAGATATACGCCACAGACTCAGACGATGATCCAGTTGTTTTCCAGCTCGATCCGAATTATCCAGTAACCGAACTTGGAGAAATCGTGGAACTAAGTGTAGATGGTGTCTTTAAATTTAAACCCTGCCTTGATTGTTATGGAAATGCATATATATTTATAAAGGGTATGGTTAATTTTTATTTTCTTCAAAGGGTGAAAGAATTTGACGAAATATTAGGTACTTTAACCAAATTCACTGGTGATACAATATTAATTAAATACTATGTGAAATGCTTTTAAATGTTTATTTAATTTTAATGTTTTAGCTGTCGAAACTCCTGAAAGTCAGTTTGTGGAGCCATTAACCTCTACCAAAGCCTTTGAGGTGGACATATCGTCTAGACAAGATCCACCAGTCGTCTATTTTTGTACAAGGAAAACATCTGATACACCTGCTGTAGACGAAAGATTTTATCAGGTAAAGAAATGTTTGCATATTATTTTCCAGTATGACAACAATGATCTGGCTCTGCGCTGCTATTGCTACTACACTTGTCATTGCTTCTACTATTACTGCTGCTGCTGCTGTACTGCTGTTAGTCTAAATGCTGCTACAATAATAACAAAGTAAATAAAATGTTTTTCAAAGAACTTTTTATTCTTCTGTCTACAGCTAACAATGGAAGAGAATACAGACACAAACGTTGCTTATCAGGATTTGATTGGTTATGTTGGTGCTTATGACGTAGATATGGATGACGTATTGCACCTTATGTTTCAAACTCCAACTCAAGGTCAGTTTCATGTGAAACCACCAGAAAGAGAAGACCCGTCAACATCTGGGGCTCTTACAGAATGCCGCATCCAGTACCCTCACTCAACGGTAAGAAGGAATGATTAAATATTGTTAGATTTATATGATATAAATAGCAGAAGTCTGGGGTTACACCATCACCATCTAATGAAGATTGTGAAGTATGTTGGTTTGGGTATGTTGGTTTTGGGTTATTTCAGGGAACAAATTTAACTGTTCCCTGGTTATTTTAGTTCTTAATTTTTTTTTTTTCGAAATCAGGTGCTTTCTAGCATGGAAAAAAAATGGTTCTTAAGACTCAGCTCTTATCCCGACAGTTACAAATACAGGTTGTTTCCAAGAACATTTAGATATTGGAATAATCTTCCTTTTCAAATTATTATTATTATTAATTATTATTTTATTTATTTGTATTTATTTTGTGTTTTCCTACCATTTTAGGGTGCAATGGCTTGGGTGTGGACAGAGGTTACCTACAAGCCTAACAAAGGTTTCTATGGCTCAGACTATTTGTCCGTATTTGCACGTGACCAAGCTGACTTATATTCAAAGGTTCTTGAGGTTGATATTGCAGTTATGAAGAATCCTTGTACTATACATGGCACATGTCATGGTAAGTATACGTGTATATATATGATATGACAAAATATTTTAAAGGCTCTTATGAATATGTACACAACACCTAGATACATGTAGAACTTAACACTTTCAACTAGAGTGGCAGTGTGCAGTCATTTTCATATGCAGCATCATAGTAGAGATCTACTAATACTGTAATACAGTAGTTTATTTATATTGTACAATAGAAGTAGCCATGGTAAATCAAAGCAATAAAAAATATAATAAGATAAGAAAAAATATAGCAAAACGAGCTTTCACCCTGGCCAGGAATCGGCACCCTAGTCATTCCTCCCCGACTATCCCTATCCATTCCATGCAAGGTTATGCACCAAGCAAGACCATTAACTATAAGGTTCACTAACTCGGTCCCAATTTGAAACAACTGAACGGAGGGAGGAAAGCACCGCGATCCCTAAGCCATAAATGCGGAGAACCTAGCACTATCAAGTACCTGTCAGTCGAATCTTGAGACTGCCTAACTCCGAACTTGCCGGAAGCTCCCCCCACGAATACTCGCTAGTAGTACAAACAAACGACGTACACCTCGAAAATATGGCCAAGCGCTCAGAATGTAAACTAGATCGGAATCCGTTCGAGAAAAGAGGCAGGTAACCTAATTAAAAAAACATATTCATATATATACAGCCGTGGGTCAACAGTACGCATGGTCATGGTGTCAAATTAATTCAAGCTTATTTTTTAAAGTGGGAAAACCTTAAATATTGAAATAATTGTTATTAATAAATATATATTTAAAGTTTTTATTAAATTTTCAAAATAATTGTCCGTTTTATTTGAAAAAATCAATAAAAGATTATAAAAATATTCAAATTAGATATATGCAAATATATTTTATTAATTATTCACAATGTGTTATAGCGGGTATTACATAGTCACACCCGCTCAAATATGGAACAGCAGTTTTTCATTTTTTTAAATATAAAAACCTCATCATTTGACATTTTTACCTCAGCCTCAATTTGCTCTTACTTTTTCTGAATTTTAAAGCAATTTCAGCCTCCCCTACCACCGTGGCATGCTCTGTAACTTGGTTGTCTTTCATTATCAATCTTTGGCAGCACTTTTTATATTCCATGAGGATGAA